GTTAAGGTTTTAGACTGGCATTGTGGAGACCCAGGTTCTAGTCCACAATCAGCCATGAAAACTTAGTGGGTGAATTTGGGCTAGTCACTCTCAGCACAAATTATCTCACAGGATAGATGTTGTGGGGGGAAATGGGAAGAGGGAACAGTATGTTTGCCCCCTTGCAGTTTTTGCTATTTGCCAAAATCCTGGGAGAACCAAGGCCAGACACTCTTCCCCAGGAGAGCATTCCATGGCCTTGTTGCTACACATGAAAAGTCTTCTCTTATGTACTAGATAACAGCTTCTGGCAACTGGAACATCTTCAAAAATACTTTTCCTGTTCAGCTGGATTCATAGTGGAAAAGGTAATTCCTCTCAGATCTTGAGGCCCTCAGATTTAGGATGCTAAAAATCAACACCAATACTGTTGTTGAGCTGAGTAGGCAATTGGCAGTCAGTGCAGATGTTTATGTACTGTAATATTTGTACTTTGTACCAAAAAGCAGCAATATTTGGATTGAAATGTTTAAAAAGAAAAGGGTAAAAGTTGTTACCTCCTTTTATTTCTATTTGGATGGCAATTTTTGTGTGATACTATTTTAATTAATTAATCTATCTAGTAAACTTATAGACCACTTCAATCACAATTTGCAAATCTAGCTGTCTGACATGAATTAAAAATAAACAAATAAAGAGAAATGTTCTACATGCACTCCTGTGTATCCTCTTTTGAAGGATTTGCGCAGCTTTAATTTTTATCTTTTATGGATAGGGAGGCAGGCTTGAAAAAAAAATCCTTGGTGTTTTGACACCTTAAACTAAGGAAAATGTGTCATATTGCCTAGCAAGGTTTGTGTGTTGAATTGCTTTTTATTTTTACTCCAGAAATCACTATCCCACACTGTTACCTGCATTAATTGATTATTACTAATTTCGATTAAAACAAATGTTGGGTAATTTTCCTCTGGAGAAGAAATATTTTTCTCTGACCTCATTCTAAGTTATTCTAAAATACATCTTGGAGGGCCTGTTTTACACTGTGGGTTCCTTTCATCGATCCCACCATTCTGAATACATTCAATATGATTCAATCTTCCATCCCATTTCTTAATTTTTCTCCATTTTTAACATGTTAGCGCCTTCTATTATGTAATAAACCTATTACTGTGGCCAGTATATAGGCAAAGCACATTATTGTCCATACTGTTTAATTTGCATGAAACTGTGGACTGGATGTGAGCTTAGCTGATAGACATAAGGACAACATAAATTGAGGGGAACATACTCACATACCATTGTTAATGATACTCAACATCTTCCGAGAACTACTTCTCTATCTCAGATACATTTCTATTCTTAATGTATACTGACACAAATGAAATTAAAAGAATGACAGAACCAGTTATTAACTTAGCAACATTAAAATTATAAAGTGAGTATGAAAGAGTTATTCATGTTGACATCAAATATTTTATAGCTCATTATATTTAGCACATTTCACAACCCACCTCCATATTATTTTCACATTGCCACATTATATCTTTTGGTTGGGGAACTGGATCAGTAAGCTTTTGCCATATGTGTTTCCTGTAGAAAGAAATATTTGGGGCATTATCCCAGATTCTTCTATCTTGAAATAACTTGCTATATGTGCCTGAAAATGTGAAGCAACATACTTTTAATTATGTGCTATTTAAGTGTAGACTATTCATTGTGCATATTTAATTGTACCACTTCCTACAGGGGTTGAGAGCAGAGCAGCAAACTCTAGAAAAAACAGTAAGCGGATGGAGCCAACTTTTGCAAAGCTAGATGCAGAAATAAGCAAAGGGTTCAGATAGATTCTGACCCATAAAAATACAAAAAGCATTCTACTGAATCTTCATTAATCCAAACCAATTGCACTGAACGAAAAGAAAGAGGAGACAGATGTCATCCTAATTTAAAAAAGGTATCTGAGGACGACAGTCAGGAGGAGTTCTTAAAGCAGGCAGTGGGAAACCGAAGACATTCTGAGAAAGAAAAGTAAAAAGAAAAGGAGAAAAAGCAGAAAGAAAAATAAATGAAGTAAAAATAAATAAAAAGACAAACGAAGAGTCAATAGCTATGACAAAAGAACAGGCTCAGTGCAGAAGATGGGTTTTCGTTAGATCTATATCCATAGTGATCAGCAAAATGAGCCTTGCCATTTTTATAGATTCTTGTTGGGTTTGTTAATTAGCTCATCTGCTCTTCTTATAAAGTAAACTTAACATAATTATTGTGTAATAATGGTTGCATTTAATCTATTTTTAAAGTTATGGCACATGTACAATTTTTCTCCCCCTACAAAAGGAAAAAAATAATCCAGATATACCCACTCTATTAAGGAAAGATTCAAACTTAGTAAAGGTTGCTTAGGTTAAAAACATCTGCTTCTATTCTTTATACCTTCCCAACATCTGCATCTTGCCTAGTTATCTGCTCTCCTGACAAAGTGCTGATTTGCATTTGAATTGTTTAAGGGCTAGATTTATCAAATGCCAGTACAAAGGCGATGCTAAAGTAAGAGCTGTTTTCTGTGTCTTCATAACAATGAAAAATAATTACGTTTTACCTTTTACAGATCAAACCCAAGAGCACAATTATTAAGATGGTTCCAAGTACAGAAAAGACTAAATGCAGTGTAGGGAATGGATTGGGTTCAGTACCTGAAAGAATAGCAGGGTTTAATATTCTTATATTAATTTATTTAAATAGAGATTCAGCACCACATGATTACAGAGCAAAGATGAAGCAGCCTCATGCTGCACTAAACTCTTTCTTTTGGTGGGAAAAAAAGAAAAAGCCAAAAGCTACCTTTGACGCTAAATGTACCATCCTATTTAATATGGATATTTAATAAAACAAAACATTTTAATACATCTGTACATAAATATGACACTAACAGGAAAATAAAATAAATTGAATGAACACTGATCTGCACATTCCTATCTAGGAGATCATGTACATATTGGCTGCTACGTCTTTTTAGGAGAGCAAAATTAGGTGTTCATCTAAGAAAGGCAAGTGAAACCTGAACAAAATTACAAATGTGCTCATTTTCATGTTTTCAACCAGCCTGTATTAGGTACTTTATAGAAAGTTTATACTTCAAATGATCCCTGCAGGGAAGAAGACAAATCTGCTGTGAACTTGGTGGGATTTTGGAGAAGGGAATGCACCAAACTTGGTTATGAAACTGGCTTTAGCAATAAGGAGTAGTGCATCTAGATTGGTTTTTCTACCTCCATTTTTAGAAGTCCAGTCACCTTGTCCTCAAACTCAAACCCAGACAAAGGGTCATTCTTAAAACTTGAGAGAAAAAGTGATAATCCAAGAGGAAGGATGTTGAATCTAGGGGTTCCACAGAGATAATCACTGGCTTCAGAATGACAGATGTGACCAGGTGATCAAAGCTCGGCCTTTTTCAATGCATTGCACACAAAAAACGGTGTTGGGCTTTGATTGTCTAGGTGCCCCTGCCATTTTGAAGTCAGTGTCTGTCACTGTGGATGTCACTTTGAGTCTGAGAAAAGGGCAGCTGCACAACTGAGAACAAATCTTCTTGTTGCTTCTCCTACCATCAAAGAATGGGGAAAATATTTTAAAAAATGAATCTTTGACTATCACATCCACATCATCTTCAGAATAAAGTTGAGATGGAATTGGGAACATTCATGGAGGGAGGAAGAGTAATTTGATTTTATTGAGATAAGTGGTATTTAAAAATAAAAATAAAAATTATTATTTACTATGAAGGGATACAGCAAATATAACTCTTTGCAGTGTAGGATTACGAGAGGGTATCCATATCAAGTGAACAAAACAATATTAGGTCACAAACTAAGGATGCCTGAAACAAGAGGGATATCATGGTTCCCAGACTTTTATGTCATTTTTTTTTTTTGTGGATATTCGTATAATCTATAAAAATATCCAAGCCCTTGTTAAATTGGTCATTAGATCCATTTTCATTTTTAAAGTTAATTTTAAACGTTAAATTTTTCAAGAGAAGCTAGGGTCCAGGTTTTATTACACCACGTTTCAAATGACAACGCTTCTAATTTTTTCCAGAATCTGTCAGTCACTATTCTAGATACATATCTATATATCTATATATATTTGGTGCCTTTAAGTCAGTCTTGACTATTGGTGATTACCTAGACAAGTCCCTGCAGTTTTCTTGACAAGATTTCGGAAGTAGTTTGCCATTGCCTTCTTCCTAGGGCTGAGAGAGAGTGACTGGCCCAGTGTCCCCCAGCTGGCTTTGTGTCTAAGGCCGGACTAGAATTCATGGTCTCCTGGTTTCTAGCCTAGTGCCTTAACCACTACACCAAATTGGCTCTCTGAACATACAGATAATAAGAGTGTAATGATAGTTTCAATGTATTTCAATGGTATATTAAAGAAATAGATTTAACTATACTAATTGTGCATTTGTGACAATCTTTAGTTTTGTGATGGCATTTTGTGATGGCACTGACTGTATACTGCTGTACAATTACCTTATCATATTGCCCCCAGAGATTCTATAGGTACCATTCACCTATACTTGCTCCAACATTTTGGTGAAAATTATTTGATAGATGTGCCAGTGTTACTATGAATGAGCATCTATGAAATATCTATAAATTAATTTCAAATTAGTTCCTATGGTTATGCCAATACAAATTTATTAGTTATATTTGTTGCCAATTCTGTTCAAATATCACATTCTGATTCACATTCTGTAATCCAGTTAAGATGCAGTGAAACATCTTGATCTAAATTTAAATTTGGGGGGGGGTTGTTTTTGGGGGGTTTTTTTTAGATTTCTTATCCTGCCTTTATTATTTTTATAAATAACTCAAGGCAACATACCTAATACTCCTTCCTCCTCCTCCTATCTTTCCCACAACAACAACCCTGTTGGGCTGTTGGGCTGAGAGTGACTGGCCCAAAGTCACCCCGCCGGCTTTCATGCCTACAACAGGACTAGAACTCACAGTCTCCTAGTTTCTAGCCTGGTGCCTTAACTACTAGACCAAATTATTATAAATTTCAGCGATCATATGGTTTTTGTGTCTCCCATATCAAGTATTAATTTTCACATTGCATTAATAACTTGTGCATTTTAACATTATCTTTGTTAAAAGGGATAATAATTGGTGCCAAATGGCCCATAGTAGTGGAATAGGCTGTCATCACCTTTTAATTTTTTGACTTGAAATTGGGATTTTATTCTCATAAGCATATCTAAACTGAACTAAACTAAACTTATTTATTACAATCCTTCAATACAGCAGCAGAAATAGGAGGTGTTTTTTTTTAATGTTCTGAGAATTTAAACGCATTATCTCTATCAAGGTACTCTAAGATTGCTTGTATCAAAAGCAGAGGCTCGCAATTTGAGACCTGAAACCCTTGAGTGAGGCTGTCCCCAGAGGCTTTCAAAACCTTGTCACCAAATTGTAGTTTTTAATGTGACAAAGTGGGAGGAATGATTAAATACATACACCAATACCATGCGGTATTAATACAATTAATTAATTGTATTAATTAATTAATACAATTACTAACGGTAATTAATTAGATTTTGCCCCAGCTCTACCAATTTCATGTAATGTTACCCAAACACATCACTCGAAAGCCAAGTATGGGCGTAAATTACGAATAATTGCTGAACTGCCAATAACCAACTGAAATGGAAGTTCCTTGCCAGACTGTTTTGTTTATTGTTTTAGTTTAATGTATAACCTTACATAAGAAGGGAATTACCTGAATATATAAAAATTATCTTATTTTTCAGTGTCCATTTTTATATTAGGAAGGTCTTAACTAGTAGCTGACTCTTAGAAGGAACGTTACCATCAAGAAGGAAAAATAATTAAGGAAAAAATAATAATTACCAAACTCAATTGGTTCACTCCATTCACCAAACTTTTTTGAAATTGAACAGATGCTTTCTCCACCTGTGCGAATTCTCAGGATATATTTCTCAGGCTTTGGGCAACCAAAGTATGTTTTATTTGGTGCCTAAAAGCAAAATATTTATTTACTTAATTTCCTGCTTGATGAAATAACAATGCTTTCTATATAAAAATTCAATTTACCTTGAATCAATCACATTATAGTTATTGCATTGCTTGCTTATAAAAACAAATAGTGTAAAAGCTTGTTTCTTAATTTCAAATCTTTCTCACTGCATTGTGACTATGAAATGTTTTATAAAATGGAATTAGGCAAAGGGAACAAATTCTGTTGTTTACTCCTGCTACTGAGCTTTAGAATATGGGCATTCTTCATATCACAAGGGGAAAAAAATTAACAACTGCTTTGTTGGTGCCCTATGCACAAGAAAAGATGAGGAAATAGGATTAATACCTTGACCATCGGAGTCAGGTTTTGAACTCTGATAAGTCCTGTGATCTAAGATTAATGCATTCTAGGGAACTTGTTAAAAATTACCACAGTTCCCACTGGGACCAAATGCAAGTGTTTTCTGTTTTGCATCCAATCGCTTAATGATTGGACAAAAGCTAAAGTCAGTATTCATCTCCCCAAATAATCAGTAAACTGACAGTTTATGTATAAACGTAGAAGATGCCTATGTATCTCCCATCTTCTAGGTTTAAAATACCAACATTCCTAATTTAACAGCACACATTCATATCGTCTAAGAACTGCTATACAAACAAGAAAGAACACATTGCTGCTGTGTATATGGGGAACAATTTTACATTTTAAAACAGAGGGCAGAAGACTCTGAGTTATTTCCAAAATTTAGAAACCCAACCCCTAAAATGGCCCGATGATGAATTTTTCATACATCATTTTCTTTAAAATGCATGTACTTCCAAGTTGCGTGTTGTGTTGCAATGCAAGGAAATGGCATGATGGGTATATATGCTAGGTTGGAAATCTATTTCCATAACAAAGAGACCAAACAGATGCGCTTTAGCCTATTCACTACCAGAGTATTTGCACATCTAGCTCTGTAGCATGAGAGTGCAATTTGCCAGAGAGGCAAGTAGAAGTCTTTCCGTCACTTACTCACCCCTTTCCTAATGCTTTTTAATTTTTTATTTTTTTTAAACGGATTAAACTTAGTTCTTTCTGTGTGAAGAGCAGAATATCTGCTTTTCTGTATGAAGACAATATCTGCTCTTCCTCTTGAAATAGATATCATCCTGACCACCTAATTTTAAATCTTCTAAGTCCATTTCTCCCTTCTCTAGCAGTAGCTTCAATGAAATTTCTTGCTGTGCAATTTTATACGGGTGTTATTCTGCCCCCTTTTGCTTATGTTTATCAAAATCTTTCTGGTGAAAAATGTAATTGTGCCCATCTACTTGTTTTGCACATGTACCTCTTCATGTTTAGAGCTTCTGGAATGTTTTCAGCAGCATTTTCCCTTTTGGGTCAAATCTGAATATTAATAACAAACCTAGACAAAATGAGATGATGAAAGAAACAGCTATTTATGAGATAACAACACTTACATCGATGATTGTATTTCTGATTTCATCCTTGGAAACAAAGGGGAAAAATAAAATCATTATTACTACTGATAATAATTTTGTCCTTTTCCAAACTGGAATTGATTTTCCACAATCAATTATATATAATAATTATAATAATGGTCAAATAGTTTCTATTGATAAAAGGGTGTTGGGAAGGAAGATTATTTAGTTACTTTTCCTTTTAACACTTTTATTTACATTACATTACAAGCAGGATTTCTTTGGGGACATTCCTACATTTAGTTTCTGAACGTATTACCATCTCTTGTTTCAGCCCATCTGGTGCTATGCTTGTTAAATATGTTCTGTCCTCATTTCCTACAAACACTAAAGAAGATCTAGCCAGTGCCTCCATGATTTTTTCTTTCCTTGCTTCTCTTCCACTTTTTTGCTAACTACATAACAGTAATGAGAAAAAAGTTATTTCTGCTCATTTTATTTATTTATTTATTTAATTTGTCCCCGCCCATCTCCCCACAATGGGGGACTCTGGGCGGCTTACAACATACAACGTTTGCTCACCTTTGATTTGTTGTAGGCCCAGTACCCTTTATTTCCATTGGGTCATTTATCTTTTAAGCAGATCTTCTTTCTGTCCCTAAATATTAGAACTCTCTCTTTTATTTTAATCACTTCCTATTCTAAATTACACAAGCAGGCCTGCTACATGACAATAATCCTATTCTGATGAACATTTTTGCCTTCCTGTATCACCATCTCCTACATCCAGTTTGCCTATATTTGTAATAATTTGTAATTTATTTGATTTAGAACCCCATCTTTCTACTTTAGCAAATACTCAAAGTTAATAAAAATGAAAAAAAAAACTAAGTAGTTAAATTACAATATTGAAATTAGAGCTGAAATTAATAAAGCCAGGTGAAGAAGATACGCCTTGACAGATTTTCTGTACGTCTATAGAAAACACTTCCATCAGAACCAGCAGCAAAGCAAAGTAGTTGTGCCTGCATATGTACACATACAAACACAACTTAGGAAAGCCTCTTCACACTTTGTGAAGTATTGCTTCTGGATGCTTTGCATAGCCTATATGGCAACCCATACAGATTCAGTACAAGCCTCCTGAGATCCTTGAATCTATTTGTGGTCTAGATGGCACATTATACATCAATTACAGCTTCTGAACACTTAAGTGTAGTTCCATATAGTGCACACTGAAATCAAGGTATGGATAACTGTCATCTGGATAACTATCACCAAGCTCATCAGCTCAAGAAAGCTTGGAACTGGCACACTAGCCTTAACTGTGCAAAGTGCTGGTCACCATTACCAGTTATGATGATCAAAAAAACATTTCCAGTCTGTGACATACTCTTTTAGGGCAAATGTTGTGTCATCCTAAACAGGCAGATCCTCAATATCTCAGCCCAGTTTCCTGTTCAAGCACATCACTTCTGTCTTGTCTATGTTTAATTTCAGCTTGTTCTCCCTCATCCAGATCATTACTGAACTTAGACAACATTCAAGGGAACCAATTTTTCCTTGGTTGGATAGTAAGAAGCAACATAGCTGGATGTTATCAGCATACTGATGAGAGTCCACACCAAAGAGATTTCATGTATACGTTGAACAGCATGGGGACCAAGGTGGAACCCTGTGGAACATTATAATAAATAGCATAGGTGTCAAAGAGTAGTTCCCCTGCACCATCTTCTGGACATGACTCAACAGCAAAATGTCTCAAGTCCCAATTTCACCAAATAGCTCAAAGGGGTATTATGGTCAGTTGTACTGAAAAGATCAAGGAGAACTCATTGAGCCATACTCTTCCCCCACCAATCCAGTTTATGGCATAAATCATCAGTTGAGGTGGTCAAAACAGTATCAGTAGCATATCCCATCTAAAAGCCAATTGAAACTGGTCAGGTAATTCATATGCAGTTGAAACTGCAATGTCAGCACCTTTGATTATGTTTTCCAGTTCCAAAATTAAATATTTAAAATTAGTCTATATTTCTATACTTCCAACTGATGTATATATTTGTATCTGGTCTATAACTTTGGAAACCAAGTCAAGGCAGAACTTCAATTGCAGGGAAGGCATCAGCTGCAAAGAAGGCATTTTAATCAGGTCTCCTCTTCTGCAGAGATTCGCAATAATACTTTAACTATAATGTACCATATTTCAAGGAAGATTAGTTCCTTGAAATATGTTTTTCCTTTATATTAACATATGCAGATGACTTTCCTAAATGTTAATGCACTGAGCAGATGAATATAGAAGAGTTCTTTCCTCCCCCCCCCCCTTTTTGCAAGTACTCACTATAATGCTTGATACAATGCAACCACTTTGCATTCCTATAAAGTTTTGGTAAACTATAACAGCACTCAGAGACTTACTAAATAAAATTTTGTCCTAATGCAGTAAATCCAAAAACCATCCTGCCTATGTGAACTAGCTGATCTATACGTAGATATCAAAATAAAGCCCATTTTATCAAGCTAAAAAAGCCAGATCTCCAGCCAGTACATTGTTGCTGGTTATTAATGGATATAATTACACTGATACTACTGCATGCATGGAACAATGGCATAGTAGTTCTGTGCGTGTGCGCGCGCGTGCACATGAAATTAGCATTCATTCAATTTTAGAACTTGCACAAGAGACTGATTAGTCTTGGCAGCACACTTGGCAATAGACTTGCATGGAACTATATAAAGGTTGTGTTCCCAAGAGTGCCTGGTAGGTGGAAAAGCCCACCTACTGCCTAGGATGTCTGGGACAATAGAGTCCTTCCATCCAACTATTTCTGGGATTTTCACCCTGTCTTATTCCTGTCCAGGTATATATGAAACCATGGAACGGCCCTCATGAATTCTTTAAATCAATGAAAATCCGGCAAACTGTCCAAAATTTGAAATATTTATTTTCCTATAGATTTCATTTTCTGGCTCAAAAATTGACATTGGACTAGCAAGGGAATTTCCAACCTCTTGGCTCTTACCTTTATTTGGAACTTAAAGCATTCACTTCCAACTTTACGAGAGCTTGGAGGAGGTTTCCACTGTACTATATAATATAATGGTGATTTATAATTCACGGTAATATTTTGGGGCGGCTGAAGCTGTTCTGGAATAAAATAACCAGCATTGTAAGTAACAGATGAAGACCTAGGAAATCATGTATATATGGACAGACATAAGCAGAAATACTATGAGAAGAGAAGGCAAAATGAACACAAACTCCTCAACCCAGATTTGGTAGGTACATATATTTCTTTATTAGTTCTTTCTGCCTGCTAGATTAGTGAAAACGTACTACAGGCAGTCCCCAGTTTAAGAACGAGTTCTGTTCCCAAGGTCTGTTCTTAAGTTGAATTTGTGTGTAATCTGGAACAACATTATTGTATAATACTGTATAAGTAGTATTGTGTAATGAACTTGAAGCTTTGTGTATTTAACTCAAAGTTTGCTACAATAGGCTCCATTCTTAACTAAGGGTCGTCC